GCTTGTCCGTAAAGGTGGCGCCCCTTACAACGTGCTGCGTGCGGCGCCCCTACCTCGCTGCTCGCGCTGCACCTAGCGCCCCCTACCTCGCTGCTCGCGCTGCGTGCGGCGCCTCCTACCTCCCTGCTCGCGCTGCGTGCGGCGCCCCCTACCTCCCTGCTCGCGCTGCGTGTGGCGCCCCCTACCTCGCTGCTCGCGCTGCGTCTGGCGCCCCCTACCTCGCTGCTCGCGCTGTATCCGCTGCGCGATGCGGTCGACGTTGCCGAGCTTCTCCGTGAAGGTGGCGACGTAGTCGGCGACGGTGACGAACTCTTGCGGCCGCTCCTTCATCATGACGCCGGCGGCAATGCCGTGTAGCGAGTCACCGACCTTGTGGATGAAGCCGTAGCCAGTCTTCTTGTGACTTGCAAACTCCTGCAAGAAATTAATTATATTGTATTGTCTTGTCTTGTATTATATTAGTCACCGACCTTGTGGATGAAGCCGTAGCCAGTCTTCTTGTGGTTTGCAAACTCCTGCGGTTATATATTATATTATATTGTATTGTATTATATTAGTCGCCCATCTTGTGAACGTGGTTGTGATCCAAATTCCTGCGATTATATATTATATTATATTATGTTGTTTGTATATATATATATATAAAACATTGCTTAATTATAATATATAGTTGATAATTATATATTATGTATAAAATATATTACATTTTGATTATTATACACATTAAATATGATATATTTTTTCATATATACATGCACGTGCACACAGATATATAAGCATACATTAATTATCGTGGCTTGCAAACCGCTGTTGGGGGCAAGCTGAAGTTAGTTACTCGTCATATTTTTAACATAACTCATCATGTTTACTCGTTAGTAATTCACTACGTTATCAATTATCACAGATCACTCATCAGACCTGACAATTGGCCACTCGAACACACTTCCACCCACGCCGCGCGTAGAGATATCTGTACGAGTGACTCACCGATGCTTTGGCAGTGAGGAATATTTGGTAGCTCTTGTCCGAGGACAACACCGGATGTTCGGCGACCCTGTTCAGGAACTGGTTGAGATGGAACATGCGAACCCGCACGAATTCTATCGTGAAATGTTCCAACCGCTTCATCGTCTGCTTGCCAGGCAAGGGCTGCAAGAAATTAATATATAATATACAATATCTATCTATATAGATATATATATATATATATATA